TATGAAATGACTGTCCATACCATTTTATGGCATGTACCCAAGTTCTTACAGAAAAAAAAATACAGTGCTTCAAAACTGGCAAACTAATTCAGAAGGGTTTATCAAACAATGCAGCTAATACATTTCACAAACTGATTCTTTGGTGCCACCTTTTCTATTGCTTGCCAAAGCAACAAAAAATTAGGTCTGAGGAAGACCTCTGGATTTTTACCAACATTTTGACAGAATCCGGAGAGAGAAGGATTCTGAACTGCCTGGTGTCATGAGAAATATCAGTTTTTTAAATCACTCTAAAAATAGTCTCTATTTAAACGGTACACTTGAAATTCTTTTAACTATCATGGCATAATGAATTTTCCAGGGAATTTTGTGCTTTTGAGAACACTGACAGTAGGAGCTATTTAATTTATCCTCAGAACACATGTAGCTTGGGGAGAGAAAACTTCCTCACTCTGACTCACCAGTGTGCCTCAGCCCAGTTCTAGAAGGACCATATGCAGAGTTGAGGGAGTAATGTAGTCTTGAGGTGCCTCTAATCATTGATGGCTTCACTGATATTATCCAAAAGGCTGTAAATTAGTGCCAACTATAATTTTCACACCTGTCCACTGGGAACAGCTTGGGTATCATTCCCTTTTTTCACATAAGTCACCAAAGTGCTGCCATCTGGCAATGACTTTGGGTCACTACAGACGTGGGTCTGGATTTGACCGGGGGGGTCTAGAGGTGAACGGTTTCTTGTCTAATTGCCAATAGTCTGAGCCATCCTACCACCCCAGTCAAGCCTTACTTAAACCAAATGGCTACTCAGCACCAGTATTTCTATTGTTTAGTGTCTATAAGGGCAAAATTGGCCTGTTTTTGCTGCTGAACAAAGAAAATCCTGTTTTCAGTGCCTGTTGCCGTTTCATCCTGTCTGTACAACAGAAGACAAAACTGGCTTACAACCGTACGTCAGCAGAGTCTGTTTCATGCTTGTCATGCATCTGCCACCATCACGTAGCAGCAAGTGGCAATGTAACAAGCATCAAACCTTTCTAGATGAGGTACAAGGAGGAGTGTGCTTAGTGAAACTGCTGTACTTTTGTAAGCGATTTGTTACTATTCATTATTTTCTGCTTGCACTGGACTGGTGAGTGGCCCATAGAACATTGAGCTCTCATTCAGGCTGTTTACTTGGACTGTACCCTCTTTGGGGCAGGGATGGTCTTGTCCCTCTCTGTGTGTGTGTATAACACCTAGCACAATGGGGCCACAGTCCTTGACTGTGGCTGCTGGTGGTATTATAAATAGTCAACTGCTGAAGTAATAATTCCCAGATTTTAGAAAGACTAGGGGGACAGTAGATGAGGGAGAGAATGCTGAGGGGATGACGGAATGAGGACGTGATCGGGGAATGATACTCAGGGTGCTGAGGAAGACTTTTCCCCTCCTGTTCTCTGAGGTTCAAGAAAAGCTGCTGGCAGCCTCTTCCAGTCCTGAGATGAGGTCTACACATTTGAAAGGGATTAATGATCCTGCTCGATGAAAAGTGCTACAGAAATAAAATTCTATGTTGTTGTTACTCTGAATTGTAGCCCACATGCAATTAAGATTTTGTCCTTATCACCAGTTTTTGAAAAGGTAAATAGGCATGGAAGCCAGCCCCTTTGCAAATCAGGTCACTTTTGTCAAGGTGCAGAAAAAAAAAAAAGATTTAGGTGCCTAACGTTAGGCACCTACATTTGAAACGGTTGGACAAAGTTGATTTATGGTCCTCCTCTCTGTAAAGTACATCAACACTCTTCTTTAATCTGTTTTGGACATGGTAGAGGTAAATTTCCTATTAGTGTTTCCTTTCTTTTCTCCAGAAGCTGCAGTGCATCACAGACATTGTCTAATTTTATAAAGTACCTATAGGTCAGGGATCTGGCATGTGTCATTTCATTTCTGAGTGGACATTTCCAGTAAATGTAGTTTTCAGTTTATAAATTTTCAGATGAGATGTCAAGATGACTAAAAAACTTCATGGTAAATCGCAAGTGAACTTTAAAAATTTGATTTGGCAAAGACATGCCACGTTCAGAGAAGTAGTATTATAATCCAGTAGATGTCTGAATGAGCAATCTGAAATTCTTCAGAAAGAAAAGGTCAAGGAATATAGTGGAAACCACTTGTGTTAATACCTTGGAATGGCATTAATCTGTTCTCTGCATGAAACATGGACAATAGCTTCTGTGTATGATTCAAGGTATGGACAGTGTTTCATTTTAAGAAAAGAAGAGGAAGCATCATCTAGTGTTTAAAAAGTGCAGGACTGGGGTCAAGATATCTGAGTTCTAGTCAAAGCTCTGCCAGTGACTTCCTGTGTGACTCTAGGCAAGTCTCTTAATCTCTCTGTGCTTCACTTCCCCCACTGTAAAATGGTGTAAGTAATGATTACCTACTGTCCAGAATTATGAGGCTTATTAATTCATTATTTGAGGGTGCATTGAGATCTTCCTGTGGAAAATGCTGTTGTACAAGGTCAGTACAATATCTCTGAAAAGAATGACCCCCCTGAAAAAGCCCTCCTGCACCATGACAGAAGGTGAAAAGCACTAATAATTTCACCTATTTTTTTAAACATAAAACACCTCATTAAACATTGACTTGATAGAGACTACTCGTGCTTCAATGTATGCTTACCCACTTTCCTGGATCAAGGACATACTGCTCAAAACCCTGCCAGTTCGAACTCCTTTGAGCATATTTCTTAGAAAGATATCCAATCCTGATTTAAAGACTTAAGGTGACAGAGAATCTACTGCTGATCACTTTAGATAAGCTATTACCAGCAGGACAGTGGGGTGGGAGGAGGTATTGTTTCATATTCTCTGTGTGTATATAAAGTTTGCTGCAGTTTCCACGGTACACATCTGATGAAGTGAGCTGTGGCTCACGAAAGCTCATGCTCAAATAAATTGGTTAGTCTCTAAGGTGCCACAAGTACTCCTTTTCTTACTGCATACTGTGGTTCCAGTTAATTACTCTCACTGTTAAACATTTGAGCCTTGTTTCCCATTAGAATTTTTTTAGTATCAGGTTCTAGCCACTGGATCTTATTATCATAGAATAAATGCTGAACTTGACACTATTTATATAACTTTTCCAGCTCTTTATGTCTGCTTTCTACAGCAAGGATTTTACATATAAATTAGTTCTTTCACATGTAAAATGTAGCTTAAGGAAAATCATGCAGTACAGATTATAATTTCTACCTTTATTTCACATTTCAAAGTCTCCACAATGCTTACAAAATATTCATATCCATTATTGTTTAAGCTGTTAGTTAAGCAGCTGACTTCCAAATTGGTTATGCACAAAATATTTCAAATTTTTAACTCCTCTAATCCAGGGAATGTAAAACAGTTTTTGTGTCCAATGAAGATTTCAAGAGAAAAAAATACAGTACATTATAGCTTTTCTTCCTATATTACTTACTAAATATAGTGTAATACAAGGAATAATATATCATGTAAAGCTCTATTGCAAATCCTGCATTTATAACCCATAAGTACATATTCAGTTATTTTAAAATTATTTCTCTGTGAAGGAATTTCTAACACCTTGGTTACATACTGTGGACCAAATCCTCCTTGCTGTTCTCATTCAAGTAGACCACTAAAGTCAATGAGCAAGGGGGGCAGGGTTAGATGCAATTTTTCATGGGCATGTTACAACAGATGCCATTATCTGCAAGAGAGATACTGTGTAAGCCTTTAGAGTAGAGTGAAGCCTACTGTAAATCTAAATAAAAACAATAAGAGATCTAATACAATAATAGAACTGATTGCTGTATTATGGGAAAGGGTAAATAACACTTCTCTCTTCACTATTTTAGGGCCATATCCTGCCATCACTGGAGTCATATGGCATTTTCAGATCTAGTAGTGTTCTTAGTTTACTCTAATCCATACTTTCTAAAATAAAATGCTGTATGCAATCTGTATGGACAATGTGGAGCTCTAGCAATCAGGTTTAACTTCTTAAAATGAAAAAAAGCCAGTCTGTCTGATACATTCAAATTAGTTTGCCTTTACAGTTAGAAAGCTGGACAGGTTGTTTAGAATTAATAGTAATGGTTGCAGAGAGAAAATAGCAGGTTTAGAGACTGCAGTGATAAGAGCAGTTATGGTTACTCTGGGCCCATTCATGAGAGGGGCTGAGCACTGCAATGCAATGCTGACCGTGGAGGAAGTTTAAGTTGTTATCCACTTTGTCTGTTCCTGAGAGCTGCTCCCATTAACTACAACTGTGGTTGCAGGTCCTCAGTAGATGCACAGAATCAGGCCCTCTACGGATCAGGCCCACTGTAACTAATACCTCTTCCCCTAACCCTCCGTAAGAGCCAAAAAGTTCTTAATCAGCCAGAATGGTAGTGTTGCACAGCAGCAGGGCTGGATTAAGGCAGGGGCTTTAAGGGAGGGGGGCTGCAAAAATAAATCACAGGCAGCGATCTCCGGGCCGCTAAAAGAGGCGCTCAGGCAGGCTGCCTGCCTGCCATAGCCCTGCACCACTTCCGGAAGCGGCCAGCTGCTGGCACGTCTCTGCGGCCCCTGGCGCAGGGGGGTGAGGAGGGGAAGGAGGCGGCTCCATGTGCTGCCCCTGTCCCCAGCACCATCCCCGCAGCTCCCATTGGCTGGTTCCTGGCCAATGGGAGCTGTGGGGGGGTGGCACTTGCGGGGACAGCACTTGTGGGCGCAGGCAGCATACGGAGACCCGCTGCCCGCCTCCAAGGGGCGCTCAGAGACAGGCTAGCAGCCAGCCGCTTCTGGGAGCAGTGTGGGGCTATGGCAGGCAGGCAGGCATCCTGAGCCCTGCTGCTACCACTGCCGGCCAGAAGCCACCTGTGGTAAGCACCTCCCAGCCGGAGCCTGCACCTCACACCCCCTTCTCCACCCCAACCCCCTGCCCCAGATCAGAATCCTCTGCTGCACCCAAACTCCCTCCCAAACCCGCACCACCTCTGCACCCCAACCCCCTGCCCCAGCCCCCTTCTGCACCAAACTCCCTCTGAGGAAAAAGACTTGTATACAGGGGTTCCACACAATCTAATAGCCCCTGGCCCACAGGAGAGTTAATCCGGCCCTGCACAGCAGGTGGTATTCTCTAAACTGAAATGCCCTTCTCTGTGTTCAAGTCTGAGACTATCCACCATGGAAATGATCCAGCTCCCGTTGCAGTCAATGGGAGTGGAATCAGGCTCCATGTGTCTGTGCTATCTTCGTTGCTCCCAAGCCTGGACTTCTCACATGTGAATACAGTCAGTCACCGCTAAGCCAGTGGGCCAGCATGTTATAATAGCTCTACAGGTCTGACAGTCAAAAACAGGCGTTAATCTGTCCTAAGCATCTCCATACCCTAAAGCAGTTTCATTATTTTAGACTGAAGGCTTGACATCCTGGAGTCAATGGGAGTTTTGACATTGAATTTGGTGAGGCCAGGATTTCGCCCTAGATGTCTAAGAAATTTTGTTTTAGCAAAATGCAGGATTTCACTGTATTATACATCAGGAAGGATGAAACGTTAGTACAAACTGAAAAACAATTTAAAGAAAGGAAATGAGTATTCCCATAGAAAAACAGGAAGCTCAAATAAAAAACAGTTGCCATTCATGTTGTTTATCTTAGGGACCAAGACTAGTATCCTTGTAACCTTATAGGGTAATAAAATGTGACCCCTGTTAGGTTGCAGGACGAAGTCCTTTTATAGAGTTATTCCTTTTTAATGTCGGTTAGAAATTTCTCCCATGGCACAAATGTTGGGACACTCCATCTTTTTTTGCCGTATTTTTGGGAATTTGTGGTAAACAGGACTGGCCTGTGGTCATTTGGAGCCCCCTACAAATATCAAAACAGGGGCCCTAGTACCTGCCACAAGACTGTGACACTAAAACCACTTTAAACTCTACTTCTTCCAAGGGATTCCTGAGCTATAGGAAACTCTGTGATTCAGGAGGCATAGAACCAGCCCAGGATGTAAGAGATGAAGGAAAGTATCTAATGAAAACTTAAGACTCACAGACAAATGTATAAGAACAAGATTTCTAACAAACATAATGAATGGGTGAACTTTGCAGGAAATTAATAAGCGATTATCAACAAATGGTTCCTAATGTGGCTCGTTTAAGTTGCCAGTTTTGTAGCCTGCAGAAGTTTCTTTCTTCTAAACTAAAAGCCTTACAATTATTACAGATTAAAGGTATAATATAAATTCAGAAATTACACTGCAGACCAGTTCAGTTGGGGCTGCAGGATACCACACCTTGCCCTAGCAAATCACTGTCATCTGTGCATGTCCCTTGTGTTTGCCTGCAGCATGCCACAGCACCAGGGAGCTTCCCAGAGGCCTTCAGAGCATACAGAAAATCTGCTTCAGATGATGGAGAGTCCTTCTTTTAAAGAAACAAAGAAAGACTTCAGTTCAAGAGTCTGGAAAAGCTTTAATGATGGTCTCATAGGCAGGAGGAGGTGTTTGTGTTGAATGGCAGATGCGGAGGCTGTTGTTGGACCAGTGGAATTCAGGACGAGTTAAGCTGTTGGTGGTGGTCCCCACAAGGGTAGTGGTGGTGGTGGTGGGAGACAGAGTAATCAGCTGACTGTTAGTTTCCACAGGGAGCGGAGGGCATTGCAAAAAGGGGTGGAAAGTGGAGGCTCGGAAGCTTGACTTTCTTGGGAAGGAGTTGGCTTGCTCCAGGGAGGCTTGTCGCTGGAACGTGAGGCTGGCCAGGCTAAGATTGCTACGACGTTCACAGCTGTTGTTACGGTAGAATCCAGTCCTGTTGGCAGCATGGCCCTGAGAAGCAGGTCTGGAACGGCGGCTAGAGATTGAGGAGCTCCACTGTGAAATGTGCGCACTGGCTCTGCGACGGGACAGGCAAGTAAACAAAGCCCAGATTATCCCTCCAATCACCAATCCAATCACCATGGACACCGAGAAGGCTATTATCATCTGACCTAAAACACAGAAAATAAACATCAAGGTTGCTTTATTTACCATACAGGCTATTCAGTCTAGAAAATGAATTTGATATGGCAGGCTTCTTAAAACGTGCCCAAACAATAAGGATTAAAGATGTTCGTTTAGTGACATTACAGAGGGCACATGCAACTTGTAATTATGGTGCAATAGAAACACAGGGTTTGATGCTGATCTCACTGACACTAGTTTTTAACAGTGTGACTCCAGTCAGTAACTCCTGTTTGATACCAAAGAGAGCGAGGGAAGACTGAAAGTGGCAGGTACTCATGACCTTGCAGGAGGCTGTTAGTACCTATTACAATCAGATGCAGACCAGATGTACGGTTCTACCGGAAAAGCACTGCGATTACTTTGGTCAGAGGTGGCCACTGAAACACAAAAAGCTGATGGACCTTTCCCTCCTCCTGACCCCCAGTTTTGGGGACATATAAATGTCAAGCTGTCATTGTACAAAGTGTAAATTTCTAGCCCTCTTACACATGCCTGCACTCTAATAATCAGCATTGAGAGGCTCTGGAAAATATCCTAGCTAGGATAATTTTCTTATCCACATGATCAGCAGTGTAACAGAAAAAGGATCAATTTTTTCCTCAGACATCCCCATCCATTTCTAAAAATGGGTGAGCCACTTCAGCTAACTCTTTACCTATTTCTAGAACTGAGCACAAGCAAACCTTGCACTGAGGTTCTAAAAAGGTATGGTGATGTGTGTGTGTGAGTATAATATTTCCATTCACTTCATATGCTTTTGCATTCTCAGGTTCTAGATAGAACTAAAAATACCACAGACCTCATATGCGAGCTTATTAGATTTTCAGATATTTTGGACAAGCGCCAAATAAGCAACTGACATTTTGGAAGTTTAGGAGACCAGTCCAGATCCCTAAATATGAACTTTTGGAGTTTTCCCCCTTGACTACTTCTTGCCTGTTACTTCTGCTCTCTGATATGTATGGTTCTTAGCAGCATTCCCAAATGGGGATGAACAAGTGAAGACAGGTCAGAGGATAATTGCATGGGATATTGTCTGAGAGCATTATTCCCAGCTGGGAACATTCTGGCATCTATTCAGCTCCAAAGTGGCCTCAGTCTGAACACAGTCAAACTGAGACACCTTTCTGGCCCACAAACTCCTGGCAGAGCATTGTGCTGTATGGCTGACTGAGCCAAAAGTAATGTGGTTTTCCCCTGTCCAATTAATGGGAATAGGCCAGCTACATGCAGGAGCCTGTTCTGCAACTCTCAGTTATGGAAACAGAGATCTAAATAGTTACCAGCAGCATTCAGGTGAGTTCATATTCATTATACTCCATTCAAAATGCCTTCACAGAGGCACAATGCTTTACAGGGCTCCTCATTTGCATGGTGTGGGGAGCAATTTGTTATGCCCATTTATGGGTCCAAACAGCTTTCCTGGCCATTGGATAGGAGGGCAGAGCCATGTCTCTTTCTAATTACTGCCCAGTTGCTCCCAGCATGAATCACCTTGAGAACAGCCCATACACTTCCACAAGTGCCAGAGGTGCAACTTGGGTAGCCATGACTCCCTCCTACTTCCCTGAACAACCACGGAAGGGTACAGTCTAGCCCTTATGATGACTTTTTGTCATCTAAACCAGAATACATGAGTGTACTTTGGGGACTGTCTGGGAATTGACTTTCTATCTAAGAGGTTTTATACTGCCACCCATCACCACAGTATCTGAGCACTTACTCTGTCCCAGTGACAGAGGCAACAGGGCATGCTGTCTCCTCAGCATTTCAGCAGCCCGGAGTCCAGCCAGTGACTATAGTGATCACTGAGCCCCGCGGAGAGGATCTGGCCCCAAATGACTATAGCCAGACATTTTTACCACCTATACATGCAAGTAAACATTTCACATTATTAAAATCATGCAGAGAAATTGACAAAATATTGAGCTCAGCACTTCAGTCCTTTCCCCAACTGTTACCCATCCAACTAGAACACTCAGCTGTTATTAAACTTCTGTGCCTTTATATGCAAATTAACAAATACAGGGTCAAAGTCCTCTATAGTGTTATTCCACTGAGGTCAGACAGACTATTGCAGTGTCTACACATTAAATCTCATTTCCTTTCACAAAGCATACATTTTAGCCTCCTCTTTTGTTACTTCAGTCATTTAGCTGGACACACAGATCCCAATCCCCCTCCCGTACACACACCCAGAACTCACCTGCTTCCACAGAAAATGTGGATGCACTGTGGTAACTCTAAAGGGTAACATTTATCCCCATGCAGTGGGCCAGCATAGAGCGTAGGCACCAATGAAGCCCTAAGGGTATGTCTACACTGCAATTTAACACCCATAGCTGGCCTGTGTCAGCTGACTTGGCCTCACAGGGCTCAGGCTAATGGGCTTGGATCCTGGGCTCTGGGACCCTGCAGTTAAACAGCCCCTTAGTCTGAGCACCATGAGCCCAAATCAGCTGATGGGACCAGCTGCGGGCTTTTTATTGCAGTGTGGACATACCCAAGGAGCTTTAGTGGGTCTTATATGGTGTATAGTCCTTGTGTTAGCCCCCTGCAAAACATGAATTTCATCCAAATGTAGTAAATACTGAAAACTGCATCTATTGATTTGTGAATCTATATCTATCCATTTCCATTCTAGAATGCTCAGTCATCAAAAGCAACTAGTATATTAGAGAAAGTATTACAATGCTTCACTCGAGCAGAACTTGCCACACCTGGGTTTTTGGGGCATTGGTGGCTTTACACAAATTACTGTGACCTCCACACAGTCTCTCAGAAGAGCTAGAGCAGCCTCAAGCTCTAACTTGCCCTGGCAGATAGTGTCTCCTAAGGAGCTGTGATCAGGGGGCCTGTATGGGCCATGCTGAGAATGCTACACTCAGGGCAGAATGCAAGGAATGGGGCAGAAAATCCCCCAACTGGTGGTTTATTCAATAATTAGATTCACCAAGCCAATAACAAAACAGCTTCTGTAATACCACACTTGTCACCAAGAAGCCAAACACAGTCCTCTTTAAGCATTCCAGCCCTTGCCTTCCATCTAGACACTCAAGTCTAATGTAATGAGAGGTTATTTAAAACCTGATTCACCATATGTGAAGTCCACCAATCCCAAAAGACCAGAGACTTATCTCCAGGTCAATATGAGTCTCAGATCTTACCCAAAAAGAAAAGGAGGACTTATAGCACCTTAGAGACTAACAAATTTATTTGAGCATAAGCTTTCGTGAGCTACAGCTCACCTCATCGGATGCATTCAGTGGAAAATACAGTGGGGAGATTTATATACACAGAGAACATGAAACAATGGGTGTTACCATACAGACTGTAACAAGAGAGTGATCACTTAAGGTGAGCTATTACCAGCAGGAGAGCAGGGTTGGGGCGGGGGGAATCTTTTCTCAGCCAATACCTTCAGCAACAGCCATTCAAACTATCAAGACAGTTCACAGGTGATTTACTATGTGGAATTACAAGCTCCCAGGGGAGATTAGGACAATAATATTATTACACCACAAGTCCCCATCTAAATGATAATATCCCCTTTTGATCTCCAAGTCAATAGAATGCAGTAATGAAGCATTATAAGACAGAAATAGAATATAGCATCTACACCTTAATTCAATCATGTTGTTAGATTGCTAATTGAATGCAGATAAACATAGACACATTTAGCTGTTACTCTTTCATTCTCTAACAATACAGGCAAACAGGTTAAAGATTCTAGTCTACTTTAACATAGCTTTGATAGATCTCTGCAAGGAATGGCCCTCTTTACCATTGCAATACCCTTTTGATATGTCCTTAAGGGTTGCTTACAGGTGACCTAGTTTGCTGATTGTTTAACCATCACTGGCTCAGCATTACAGGAGCCAATCCACCAAGCAGGATTGCTACAGTGTAATCTTCTTCCCCATCTGCCCACCCCTGAGATGTCCACAGCCCACCCTGGGAAGTCCCACAAAGAAGAGCAATGAGAGACCAAGGATCTGGCCCATGGTCTCAATCATATCCTGTCGACATCCTTTTATTGGATGGGGGCTGCAAAAGCACCAGGAGGAATCTTGCCTGATAGAGAATTCCTCCTGGAGCTCCCTGCTGCACAGGGAAGTACACCCACCTGTACACCCCTTTGGAGGGACTGTATATTCCCCCCCTTTGGGGTATCTTGTACTTTAGGGGACACTAAGAGCAGTGGCTACACTTGGCAACTCTGCAAAGAGTGGGTAAGACTTGTTGCATCCTCCCATCCTCTGGCTCATACCTGTGGCAACTGAACTGTATTTAAAATAAATACACCATTTACTGATTTAGGGTCCAGTCCAGGCCCAAGCACAGTGCTTGCTTTGTGAGTATCTCATTTTCCTTTTGTGTGCTTAGACTCCATCAGAAAGTACAACATCCTTGTGAGCACAAGATCTACCAGCTGCATTGTGAGGTACTGAAAATTGTATTGAAATTGTTAACTCTCGCTTTAAATGCTCAGTGGGTTTTCCTGGTCCTCCATGCATGGTAGGGGGCTCTTTGTGCAATCTGGGCCTAGTAGCAGTCAGATAGCAACAGACAGGCAGCTTACATTAAGATTGGGTGAATTGTGCCTCTTTGTTTAGGGAGTAGCCTGTTTTGTCTCTTTCTGTTTTGGGTTCTTGTGTTGACAAGGCTCTAGATTTTAAGAAATAAAAATAAAGTTACAGTGCAACCTTTCAAAAATATGTTTTTATCTAACCTTTCTATGTGTATGCCATTAACATAACATGTACCACACCAAGAGGGTAAACAAAGGTTTCATTTGAAAGGCTTCAGTTTCAAATAGTACATTTTAAAAGTAACTCAGTCATTGGTGATTGACAGACCTGGGTAGCCTTGCCAGTGAATTTCCAAACTTTTCTCCAATTGAGGGCTAGATTATCCCTAGGGAGCCTCTTCTCAGCCCCCACCCTCTGCTTTATGTCTCATTCAAGGTCCAAGGCAGAATTCC